GTTTCCCATGACTCTGTGAGGGCTGCCTGCAGGAGCTTCTAAAAAGCCAGTGACTCAACTGCCAGCAACTTTGTCCTTGTTTCACTCTGTGTTTCCAATAAACTTATTGTAGCGAATCAAACCTGCTTCTTCAGAGTCTTGAAAATGCCAGGGCCCTCCTGTGAGAGGTGCCCCCTGCCGGAGGTTTCCTCGGGGCCTCTCCATCCCCTCAGGTATTTTTTCAGCAGTTGGAAATGATTGCAGTACACGCTGCCCTTCTGGCTTGAGCAACCCAAGCCTTGGGAAAGCAGAAGACTGAGGGAGGCAGGGATCTATGCGGTCATGGTTTCTCTAGACCAGTGGTTCTCAACCTTCCTAATGCTGCGACCCTTTAATATAGTTCCTCATGTTGTGACCCAACCATAAAATTATTTTTGTTGCTACTTCATAACTGTAATGTTGCTACTGTTATGAATCGTAATGTAAATATCTGATATGCAGGATTATTTAGGTGACCCCTGTGAAAGGGTCGTTCGACCCCCAAAGGGGTCGCGACTCACAGGTTGAGAACTGCTGCTCTAGACCAAACTTTCTCAATGTCAACCCTATTGACATCTTGGGCTGGAGAATTCTGTGCGGTGGGGCTGCCCTGTGCACCATAAGGAGGTTGAGCAGTATCCCTGGGCTCTACCCACCTGGTGCCAAGATGCCTCTAGGAATGGTCAGATGTGCCCAAGGCGTTCTCAGCAAGGAGATTTTGCCCCAGGGGCATTCCTGGAGGGGGAAGTCCATGAGGAAACACGTGGAGGTAAGAATGGAAGGAAGGCATGTGAGACAAGCAGTGTGGGGGAGAATCAGGAGAACTGTGCTTCCAATTCACAGTCCTGACTCTGCCATTTCCCAAATGTATGACTTTGGGCAAATTGCTTCCACCTTCCGAGCTTCTGTTTCCTTTGTCTGTAGAATGAAGGAGTTTGGATTATATTCCTAAGGTCCCTTCTGGCTCCTTAAGTGAGATTATGCATTTAAAAGCATTTTGTTAATAAAAAGATATGTTTGAATGCTGGTTCAGCCATTTATCCTTTCTATAATCGTGGGAGTAAATTCTGTAAGTACAGGAGCTGCAGCTATAAGGAGCAGCCCCTACCCTTAGGCCAGAGAGAGCATACCCAGGAAGGAGCCCCGGAATGTCAGCCTCACCACAGTCTATTGGTCAAAGCTATTACAGAGCCAGCCCAGATTCTGGGGGCGGGGGGGGGGGCGGGGGGGGGAGATATACTCTACCTGTGAAATGAGGAACAACATAGACAGAGAGAGGAGACATGGGGCCATTTCTAAAGATAACAATCACAGGAGGACACATGAGACAATACAAATAAACGTTTAGAGTATAGCATGGCACGTAATTTATACTCAAAAGTTGCTATTTATTATTGTTGTTACTATTAGTATGATAACACAACAGCACAGATTTCCTAGGCTCTGAATAGCAGGGGGCAGAATGGGATGGTAAAGAAATACAGGGGCTAGAAGTCTGGCCTCTTAGCTTCATGTCCTGGTTTGATCACCAGGAGTATGTGGCCAGGCCTCTTCAGGCTTTCGAACCTCAGTTAGTTTATCCACATTTTGGGTTGACAACTGGCCTACGAAAAGAGCAAGCATGACAAGAAAGGGCAGGTGCTGAAGGACTTACTCTGCGTGCTGTCACTACCACGACTGGCCTTCGCTCAGCTGTCAGCACAGAAGGACCTGATGTCTAAATAGCTCATATTCCTTAGGAATCGGCAGGAACATTCCAGAGAGGAGGCAGTGTCTCTCTGTGAAGCGTGGAAGGCCTCACTGATTGGCCCATACCATCTACCTCTTCAAGATGATGGGAAAAGTGCCTGGAAGGAAGTAGGAATGAGAAGTGACCTTCGATGAAGGAAGATTTGGTGGGATGGAGTTGGGGCTGGGGTAGGAGGGGGCAGTGGAGAAGAGTGTAGAAATAAAGGGCTCACTTTAAGCTTCTAGAGGGCACTGGTGAGCAGTCCCCGTCCTCCCCCAGCGGCTTCAGAAACTTATTAGAGTCCCTGATGTTTTCATGCTCCAACCCCACCTCTTCATATGCATTTCCCCATGTCCAGGACACATCTCTTCTTCCCGGCTAACTCCTTATACTTTTTGCTGTAAAATGTAAGCTTCATGGAGGATAGGCATCTTTAACTATTTTCTTCACGTATATGAGCCAAGTGTGTATAACAGTCCTTGGTCCATATTAAGCACGGAGTGATCATTTGCTGATTGCATAAATGAACTCCTGGTCTTCCTTTAGGCTGCAGCTTCAATATTACTTCCTTCAGGAGGTAACTAGCTTTCTCTGGTTAATACTCTCCCAACTGTGCTTCCCTTTCCTCCTAGCACCAAGGCCCAGGCCTCTTTGAAACGACACCTTTCCTTGATGAAGAGGTGGCAGAGGAAGTGAGGCTCAGGTATTCAGGACAGGAGGCTCTAACAGACGGAGAGTCTGCAACATTAGTCTTGCCCGGTCCCTTGAGCTGGTGGGGCTGAGGGAGGTGCATCACTCCTGAGGCATGGAGCCTCCCTGCTCTCCCAGGTGGCATCTGGATGATCTCCCAAGGCTGTCAGTGCTTATGGTGTCCTCCCTAAGCCCCTGGGAAGGGAGTGTTACAATCCCAGAGCAGAACTCAGAGCCATTGCCTAAGAAAGTCAGAACTAAAAAGACCCTTTCAAAGGCTCTGGTCCAGTATTCACTTGACAGGTGTTCAGGGCCCCCTGAGCCAGAGCAGGGGAGGAAGGTGCGGTCAAAGGGAAGTGGTGAGAGGCACTGAGACATAAGTCAGAGCCAGGTATGTAGGACTGATGTGCTATGTTCGAAGGCCCAGACTTCATCCTGAGGGCAACAGAGACCCCCTGGCAGGTTAGACTTGGGTTTTGTAAAAATCTCTGGTTGCTGTGTAAGTGGATTGGAAGGGGAGGAGAGCAGGCCTCAACCAAGATGGTGGTGGCTGGACCACGGGTGGTAGCCGCAGGGAGAGAGGAAAGAGACGGATTAGAAGGATACTTAGGAGATAGAGAAAGAAAGCACTTGGGAGTTAATTAGATTTAAGAGCAAGGGTATAGGCATAGATCATAGGTTTATATGTGGGCAGCTATGTTGAGGATCTTGACAGGGGAGGTAGGAGAAGATGGGTGGAGAAGGTGAGAAATAGTGAGCTCAGCTTGGAGGTCTGTTCAGTGGAAGGGTCTCTAGGACTGCCAAGTGCAGCTTCCCTGTACAAACTGGGGGCATGGGTCTGAGACTGAGGAGTGAGGTCAGGGCAGCAGGAGAGTCACCATGACTCTGAAGCACAGTCGGATGATTTTAACTGGAGAGGACACCAGTGATGGTGGTAACTGAAGGAGAGCTGCTTGGGAGGAGCTCAGGCCTGGCCTGTCAAACAAGGAAGTGGGAGGCCTGAGACTCTGGGAGGGAGAGAGGGTGACAGGTGAGGAGCCAAGAGGGCCCTAGAGATTCCAGGAGGGAGTGAGGGAAGGCGGTGGGTCCTCCTAGGACAGCATGGTGACATGGATAGAAAGGTAAGGGCCTGAAGGGAGGTGGGTCAGCACTGGGGCTCAGGTAGGGCTGGGCAAAGGGAGGGAAGAAGAGGGCCAGTGAGAAAGAAATTTACTCCACAGGAGCAGGGCTGGGCCCAGGGAGGGCTATTCCATGCCTGGTTCTTCCAGAGCAGGGTTAGGGGCTTCTCAGCAGCTTCCCCCTGGAGCTCCTAGCCTCTTTCTGAGCAGAGGAGAGGAGCAGTCAGGCCATGCAGGGGCAGAGGAGCCACCTTGGCCTTGGGATTAAAACTCTGATGGATCTGGGGATGAGGGTAGTCAGTGGGGCAGTCAAGAAAGCAATTAGATGGTGGGGGGAAGTAGCTCCTCTTAGGAGTTCAGAGTTTTTAAAAAAATATATTTTTTATTGATTTCAGAAGGGAGAGGGAGAGAGAGATAGAAACATCAATGATGAGAGGGAATCATTGATTGGCTGCCTCCTGCACACCCCACACTGGGGATCGAGCCCACAACCCGGACGTGTGCCCTTGGCCAGAATCAAACCTGGGACCCTTCAGTCTGCAGGCCGATGCTCTATCTACTGAGCCAAAGCGGCTGGGGAAGGAGTTAAGAGTTTTTTAGGAGGCGGTCCTGGGTGCTGAAGAGGTGTGTATGGGGGGTGGAGGGGTTGGCAAGGGGTGGTGTCAAGGGTCTCATCTCCATTGTTTGATGGACAGTAGTGGGAATGAGTGGTATGGGGTCCAGACTGATACGGGTTGGCCATCTGCGGTGGCTGTTGGCACTTCCGGAGGTTGCTGCTGTGGTGCATGTGTGCGTGGTGTTGGTGGAGGTGTGTGTGGGGGAAGGGGATTAAAGCCAGATACACACACACACACACACACACACACACACACACACACCCTGCCTTCAGAAGATTCCATGGCCTCCTGTGATTCCCTTCAGCCAGAGGAACAAGTCTCAAGTCTCAGACTACCTCTGACAGGTGTGGCTTAGGGGAAGGTGCTGTGAGCACAGTCAGCATTGCCTGGCCACGGGAGGATGGCACTATTGGGGATAGGTTGTTCTGTGGGTATCCAGGTTGAGGACAGGCCAGAACGACCCCAGTCCTCAGGTCATCTCACTGGGCTGGGATGCTCATCAGTCAGTGGACATGGGCTCACTCTGAGCAAGCAAGACATCATAGCACAGAAAGCAGGTTCCCCAGTTTATTGGAAAAACAGAGGACAAGGGGCCAGAGAGGGAAGGGGGCAGTCCAGCAGTGCTCCTTCCAGGGAAGGAGAGCCCTCCTGCCTGGGAGGAGCCAGAGAAGATGCGGAAGAGAAGCATCCATTCCGAGCAGCAGCCCTTTCTGGTAGGACAAGATGAGCAGAGGAGAGACTGATGGGAACAAGCCTGGTGGTGTATTCGTAGAACACATGGGGAACAGCTACCAAGGCGCCGCTGTTCTCAGCTGGGGGTGGGCGCAGTGGCACCTCTGGCAGGCAGTAGTGGCTTCTCTGGCTCTCTCTGGGGGCAGCCTAACACCTCCCTAGGCCGCCGGAGCCCCCTCCACAGGTGGTGTTGAGCTGGCAGCAGGGCGCGCACATTCCGGTGGGCACCGCCAGGTTCCCACCACAGGGGGCATTGCAGGCGCTGCCTACTACTGGTCTGGAGCCAGACACACAGAGGTCCCCACAGACGACTCCGCCCCGGGAGCTGCTGACACCTGTGAGAACAAGGGCTGGGTCAGATGTCACCACCAACCGCCTCCCTTTGGCCTCTGTGATCTGTCCAGCCCACCAGGGAAGGACTCAGAGAACCTTCAGTTCTCGTTCTGAAGGCGTGGAAGGAACCTGAGCCTGGGGGCCAGGAGCCTGGGGTTTTTCTGGCTCTGGTTGTCCTCTGTGACTTGGACAAGCCCCTTATTCTTTCTGCGCCTTCACACCTACACAAGGGGGTGGGGGCAGACTGAGCGATATCCAAGGCCCCTTCCTGAGTGACATATTACTCATATTACTATCCCCCCCCCCACCAACCCCATTAGTGCTGTGAGGTTCTTCCTGTCAGCGAAGTGCAGTCTTTCCTGCAGCATGCCCAACCTACTCCTATTCACTGAGGGAAGAACTGGAAAAACTCTTCCCAGTGTCTATACATTCATCCAGGGAATTCTTTTTGTCCAAGAATTTTCCTTTTTAGGACTCGTGATACTTACAGACATTCACAGATCCAACACCTTCACACAGCCTGAGTGGGGAAAAGGTAAGAGAGGAGAAAAGAGGTCAGAACGAGGTCCTCAGGTTTCCCCTAGGTTATGGGATGGGCGACAGTCACGTCTTTGTGAAACTTTGAAGAGTGCCTTTCTGGCTGCAGCAATGCCAGGGCACACTATTTGGCAAGCAGAGTACAGACTGGATTCAGCATTCACTTACTCCCAGCCGGCTGCCTTTGTGCAGTGCACAGCCCGAACAACCACACCTGGCCTGTGTGCATGGGTTCGGTTTTAGGAAGGGGAAGGTTCTCTTGGGCAGTGACATGAGGCCAGGGCCAGGTTTGGCCAGCGACTCCACCTTAGGACAAAGTGACCTTCCAGAAACAAGGAAGGGAGAGGATTTTGGAAGAGTTGAGGGTAGAATAACTCAATGATCTTCTGAACTGATGGGAAGGGTACCTAGGTTCTAACCCTAGCAAGGCCAGGTGCTGTTCGGGACTCTAGACATCACAGTGGCACATGTCCAAGTTCCAGTCCTTAGAAATCAAGGATCCAAAGATCCCAGAATCTAGCTTGAGGCCAGTTCTTGGAACTGAGACTGAGATATGGAGGAATCAAAGGTGGGCAGATCTATGCATGTGGAGTTCTTGGGGCAACTGGGCAACTGGGTTGAGCCTCACCTCTGCTCCTCGCCCTCCAGCAGGCGCCTGTAGGTGGCGATCTCAATGTCCAGGCCCAGCTTGGAGTTCATGACCTCCTGGTACTCCTTGAGCAGGCAGGCCATGTCCTGCTTGGCCTTCTGCAGGGCGGCCTCCAGCTCGGCCAGCTTGCAGCGAGCATCACTGACGGCTGTCTCGCCCTGCTCCTCCGATTGGGTCACTGCGGCCTCCAGCTTGGTGTTCTGGGTACCCAGAAGAGAACAAGGTGGGGTATGATTTCTGGGTCTCTCTGTCAATTTCCTGGGTGTGTCCAGTCTCTCCCAGCCAGCTGTGAACATCCCAGGAACAGGCCTCTCACCTTCACAACCTGGGTCTCCCTAAGTGACCACAACTTATAATTCTAGTTATGCAAATGGGCTAGAGGATGAATGGTGAGATTTAGATTGAGCACACATGGCCTGTGAGACCATGGCCAGGCCCTCAGCCTCTCTGGTGGCCCAGGGTGCAGATGCCCCGTACCTGGCACTTGGCGTTCTCAACCTCGGCGGTCAGCCTCTGGACCATGCGGTTCAGCTCATTGATCTCCTCCTTGGTGCGGCGCAGGGTCTCCCCATGACGGATCACTGTGGCCTTCATCTCCTCACACTGGGGGGGGAAGCAGAGATGCTCCTGAGGCTCAGGATGAGACATCCCCCATTCAGGACACCATGGATGGTAGTGCAGGCTGTACAGTGCTCATCCATGGCAGCCCTGCCCCGTCCACTCAACCTGAGAGCTGTCTGGCCTCTGTTACCATCCTTAGGATCAGAATCCCCAGACAAAAGCAGCCTTTTCTAATATACACCTCACATCCCTCCCACTGCCATGTCTAGGAGGCAGGTGTCCTGTGCCACTCACCTTGCTGCGGTACCAGGACTCGGCCTCGGCCCGACTGCGGCTGGCGATGTCGTCATACTGAGCCTTGATCTCGGCAATGACGCAGTCCATGTTCAGGTCCCGGCTGTTGTCCATCTTGACAACGACTGAGGTGTCTGAGATGTGGGCGTGGAGGACACGGATCTCCTGTGGGGCAGGAGTGAGGGAAGAGGAAGAATAACCAAGTTATCTGAACTTTTCCTCACCTGCTGAGGCTGATGCCTATCATCTCTGGCCCATTTGGAGCCAAAGTCTCTTGTTTGGAGAGAAACTCCCTGATGAGATCACATAACTTTTTGTTCAGATAAAAAAAAAAAATCCCTCTTAGAAGAAAATGCCACTAGGTCTCAAGGGCTTGTTGCTGGAATTGTTCAGGCCCACGTGCACCTAGGCGGCTTCCTGCCAGCCAGCATGCTGTGCATCTCCCTTGGGGGCAGACCCTGCGGAGGGGCCACGTCACATTCCCCTGGACTGACCACACTGAGGAAGGCCATGGGCTGCCCTAGAAAATCTGGAGAACAGGTTGAGGCTGCGTGATGATTCATGTGGCCTCCGCTTTGGGTTCCCCAGACACGCTGTCTGTCCTAGAGACCACACACTCTTGCCCCTACTACTTCTGTCCCTTTTAGTTTTCCATTTCTCTGTCTCCTTTCCTCCCTTTTCCTGCTCCCCTCCAACACTCCAGTCTCAAGCTGGGTTCCCATATCAGTTGGCCTGTAGGGTCTGGGCAGGGGTCGGGGTGCCCGCCATGGCTGAGAGAGTCCCTCACCTCCTCATACAGTCGCCGCAGGAAGTCGATCTCCTCGGTCAGGGCCTCTGCGTTGGCCTCCAGGTCTGACTTGCGGAGGTAGGCGCAGTCCACGTCCTGTGTGGGGTTCAAGAGGCCATGAAATTAGGGTTCCTTGGGATGCTCTGAGGGTTGGCTGCCGTGTGGCAGGGCAGAGAGGATGGGGTGGCTGGGAACTCAGGGTGGGGCTTGGCTTCAGGCACTCACCTTCTTTAGAACCACAAACTCATTCTCCGCTGTGGCCCGAAGTGCAACTTCTTCTTCATACCTGAGGTGGGCAAAGAGAACAGGACCCCGTCTGAGCAGCTCTTAACGTGGCATAGAAGCAGGCATGCAAACGTGCCTGATTCCTAGATCTCCTCTGGCTTGTGCCCCTGCCTCCAAAAGAAATGAGGCGGCACAAGGAAGAAATCAGGCTGCTGGTCCAGGCCTGCTGGGATACATTGGAGGATCGAAGCATCCACTCTCACATCACCTTTGAGCTCTCAGTTGGGGTGGGAGGGCAGGATCTGGAAGCTGTGTGTGCATGTGTGTGTGACCTTTGAGCTCTCAGTTGGGGTGGGAGGGCAGGCTCTGGAAGCTGTGTGTGCGTGTGTGCGTGTATGTGGATGTGTGTGTGTGTATATGTGTGGATGTGTGTGTGTGCATGTGTGTGGGGGTGGGGGATTAGGTCAAGGGAGATGGATGTTTTTCTCACCCAGGTCTCCTTTTACCTTTCCTCTGACCCTTCCTCTTGCCTCTGGCTTTGGGATCCCCTCCCGTTCTCCTCCTGGGCTCAGCCAAGAGGAGTCAAGCCCACCACTTCCTCCTGCTCTGTGGGCAGGCTGGCTTGGAGCCAGAGGCAGGGGGTGTGGCCAACTGGGAAATCCACGGCGAGAGCCTTACTGAAGGCAGCTGGCCACCCCTCAAAACTGGATTCCTTCAGAGTCCCCAGTGTGTACCTGTCATAGCATGTATCACACACGGTAACTGAAGGTCTGTCTGTGCCCGTGCCACCCTGCCTCCCAGCAGACTGTAAGTGCCACAATAACAGGGACTGTATGTCTCCCGGTTTTGTCCCTGGGCAGGGGTATCTGGACCCAGTCTGCCATCTGGCTGGCACCTGGAAGGCGCTCAGAAAGTGTTGAGTGAAGGAGTAAACCTAAGAAGAATGTCCATGGCTTTGAGGGCTAGGCTCAAAGGGTCCAGGAATGTTAATTTTTCTGGGGTCTTAAGAGAAAGGTCTGGTGGATGGAGGAAGGAAGAGAACATCATTTCCCTGAGCTGCTGGGAGGAAGCTCTGGAGAGCTCCACCCCTGGGGGGCCAGGAAAGACAGAGTGCAGGCTCTTCCCCATCCTCAGGCAGAGACCCAGCCACAGACTGGGACACATTCCTGTGTGGGAGCTCCCTTCAAGCCCTTTCCTGAGCCAGCCCTTCCTGCACTTACTTCTTCTTGTAGCCCTCCAGCACCTCCTGCACGTGGTTCAGCTCTGTGGCCAGCCTCCCGCTGTCGGCCTCCACACACTCGGCCTCCCGCCTCAGCGTCTCGATGTAGCCCTCAAACAGCGGCTCCAGGTTGCTCTCGCAGCACTTGCGGTTCTGGTAGTACTGCCACTTGGTCTCCAGCAGCTTGTTCTGCTGCTCCAGGAAGCGCACCTGCCGCCCAGAGGCAGAGCCTGAGAATCTCTTCTTGCAGGATCACAGGGCAAGAGGAAGCCCCAACTCGCTGACCCAGAGTCCTCCCTGATGGGGGTTTGCCATTTCTCAAAGTCACACCAGGGCTTAACCAGCTCACCACCTGGAAGTCCTTGTGAGCTAACTTTAGTCTCTTTCAGGCAATTTATCTCGTGACCTGAAAAGCACCAAACCATGCTGAGTCCAGCCTCTGCTGCTGCTTGTTAATAATGTATCCTTGGGCACAGCACTTAACCCCTCTGCAGACTGATCACCTCACTATGAGGGTTGAGCGAGCCCTGGTACCAGGAGGCACCTGCATGCTGAACAGCTGCTACACCAAGTGAGGAGTGATGGTCAGTGTGCAAATGAGCAGTCCAGCCCTTTTGGAAAGGTGGACTATAAAAGTTGAAAAATAAAATAGGTGCCAATTACTGAACCTCTACAACAACAATGCAATTCGTCACCTGGGATGCTCTGTGCTCCAACCCCCTCATTTTACAGATGAGGGATCCAAGTGATCCCTTGTCTGAGATCTCACAATGGCAGAGGAAGAAGTCAAACTCTGATCTGCTGCCTTCTTGCAGGGTGTGTGTGTGTGTGTGTGTGTGTGTGTGTGTTCTCACTACAGTAATTATTGACTATTGGGCCCAAGAAAATCTCACACCCATCTCCCTGCCAGGAGGTTGACCCACCACCCCGTTTACATCCCTTTGTCTAATAACTGCCACACCCCTGGTCAGTCCTTTCTTATGTTATCCTTGGTCTCTCGTGTTGTTAGGAGTTTCAGATTTTCGGGGTCTTTCCTGGAGGGTATCTCTCTAACATGACTTCTCTGAGGTTGGCTCTAAGTGCTCACTTTGGCCCCAGAACTTCTTCCTCATTGGAGACTTCTCCCCCAGCCCCTCGCACCACTGCCACACAGGGTGGTTGCCTGGATTCAGTGGAGAAGACAGCTTCAGACTTGAGCTGGACGCTGACATCTGCAGATGGTTTCCACTCTGCCCACCTCCCCATAGGGCCTGGGACAGTGGGAGCTGTGCCTATTGCATGGTGGCTTGGACAAACCATGTTGGCCCCTGCTCAGTGTCTAAGTAAACACTGGTAAGGACACAGCTCTGTGTGGTCCATGAGCTTCCCGCCAGGCAGTCTTCCAGCACCACACTCACTAGCCTTGCCCTGGACACAGGGAGCACCTCCTTGCCATGTAAGCAGCTACTTGGCTTCAAGCACATTGAACACCCACATGGCAGCCCTTTGCTCACAAGATGTTACCTCTCAGCCCTACAAGTTCTGCCCCTAGTTCTGCGCATGTGTTTTCAGTTTGTCCCGAGCATCAGACTGGCAGCTCTTGATCCTATTCTTGTCGTTCTGTCTGTGTCCTAGAGGTATAACTGCCTCTCCCTTTGGACTTGGAGCCCCTCTGGGTAAGCCTGCCTCTGGCTTCCCCCCTCAGTGCCCAGCCTGAGTCATGCACATGGACGGAGTTTAGTAAGGGTGTGCTCAAGGACACCCACCTTCTCTGTGGGTACCCAGCCTGCCTGGATAGAGGTTGTTTGCAATAACATTGCTATCAAATCAGGAGCCCCTGCCCAATACACAGCTGTCAATGTGGTCCATCTCCACCAGATGTGGTCCATCTCCTCCGTCAGACTGGGAGCTCACCTGGACCACATCCCTCCTGCCCCTGACTCCTCTCCAGCGCCCAGCCCAGCAACAGAGGGTTCAGGGAAGGACTGGTCAAGGACACCCACCTTGTCGATGAAGGCAGCGAACCTGCTGTTGAGACACTTGATCTGCTCCTTCTCCTCATGCTTCACGCACTGCGCGTTGGGGTCGATCTCCAGGTTGAGGGGCGTGAGGAGGCTCTCATTGACGGACACGGTGGTGATGCAGGGCGGGCTGGGCCCGCACACGCCGCCTGAGCGGTATCCGAAGCTGCGTCCACAGGAGCCAGAGCGGAAGGTGCCGCAGACGCTCTGGCTGCCAAAGCCCCCTGTGAAGCCGCGGTAGCAGGAGACCCCGCGGTAGGGGGCGGCGGTGATGCAGCAGCGGCCGGGCCGGGGCCCGCAGGCGGAGGCGCAGCTGAAGTTCCTGGGGCCAAATCCACAGCCCACGGAGCCGAATCCACAATGCATGCTGGAGATAGGGAGGTATCTGAAGAGTGGAGAAGCTGGCAGGGAATGGAGCCAAAGGCCTGTGCTCCCGGGGCTGTGGCAGGCCCTTTTATGCACCAGGGGCAGCTGGCATTAAAAGGGACAGCAAAGAGACAATAGCTGCATTTTATTGGCTTGGCATCATCCCGGGCTCTTAAGAGCCAACCCCGCTTGCCTCCTCAGTGTAGCTGTGTCAACAATCCCCAGCCACTGGCCTGTTTCATCTTCAAAGCCCTTTACAAGCTTCCTCAAGGCCTCTCCCCGCCCATGAGGATGTGGAGAAGTGGAGAAGGGAGAAGGGCTCCTGGAAGCATCAGTTGGACTCCACGCTCCGATGCAGGGAATGGGTGCAGTGGCCTGGGGAGGAGCCTGCTTCCCAAACCCTTTCCTGGAGGGGGCTCAGCTGTGCTGTGGGCCCTGGCCCTTTGACCTGGCCTCGGGTGGAGCAGCTGGTCTGTCCCAGGGAGGGGCCTTGTCCCAAAAAACCTCTTATTCTAGGTTCTTTGCCTTCCCTCTTGCTCTAAGAATATCCCTCTCTTCAGTGTCAACCTGAGCCTCTCCTAATCTGTTCCTTTTTAGAGCGCAGTCAGGGAGGAGGATTGGGGTAGAGGTTTGGGAGGGAGCATGGCCTCTGTACTTTGAGGAATTCCTAGGAAGACAGAATCCATGGACTCCAGCTGGGACATGGGAGACACTGAGTCAGAGTTCAGAAGGAAACCAGCGCCATTCTTCAGAGTTCTGGGCATCGTTGCCAGTGGGATAGGTTTAGGAGTGGGAGTGTGGAATACCCCAGAGCGACAGGGCGTAATCAGGGAAGGCTTCTTGGAGGTGGCTTTAAGGAGGACTGGGGTGGGATGGGGATAGGATTGGGAGGAGACAAGAAAGGAGTCCAGTTCTGATTTGGAGACTAGATTGTGTAATCAGTCATTCCTCATTCATTCAGTAAATTCTTATTGAGTTCCAACTATGCAGGAGACACTTGCTGGGTTCCTGGAATCCAGCAGAGACCTGAGGTGTTTGGAGGTAGGAAAGGGTGGCATAAATATGGGGTGCAAGGCTGAGTTGGGGTATGATGTGGGGTATGAGAGTCCTTGAGTTCTCAGCAGGGAAGTTGAGCAATGAATGCTGGTATGCACACACTCATCAGGAAGGGTGAAAGGTGCTGGAAATGGGGTGGGGGAGGTCACCAGGGTCCTAAAATGGCATCACTTCCTCCCCTCACAGGACCCATTGGGTGAGAGGAGGAGGGGGTTCATGTGGCTGTCCCTCAGCCAAACTCCCCTCTTCTGTTTGGGCTTAGACTGTGATGGGTAGACAGTGGCACCAAGCCAGGAGGTTCCCTGAACCCAAGTATCTGAGCCCATAAACCCTTCCAAGCACACGTGTCTTGACTGCCTTTGAACCTAAGGATGACTCCTCCAATGGGCCTGTTTCCTAACCAGCCGTGACCAAACGCTGACCCCGTCTGGCCTAAAAATAGCCCTTCATGCATCCCCTCAGGGCCTCACCAGGGCCTCCCTCATCCCTCTCAGGGCGAGTGGCCTGTTATACCCCAGAGTGGGGGAGGACCCCTGTTTTCTGGGAGGACGGGTGATGGTGCCATGGAAATCTGTCCAGGAGCTGGGCAACTTCTGCATGCATTCTAAAGAAAGGACAATCCCAGTCTTCCTCTTGGGCCCTGTGGATAGATTTGCACATACTCTTGTTTCTGGGGTGGGAACTCTGTGGGTGTGGGGCATGGGCTTTGGGCTAGGGGCTTCTGGTGTGAGACACACAAGGAGGCAAGGCCTGGGGCTAGGGGTGGCTGATTCCAGCTGAATGGTTGGTGGGATTTCAGGAGCACTTCTCTGGGAGGTGTGGCTGGTGGATACTTCCATGTTAAGCCTTTTTCTGGGTCAAATGTCTGCCAGACATTCAAGAAAGAACCAAGTCTTTCTCTCCACTTGGATCAATCCACATTGGAACTAGTGAGCACCCGGAAGGCTCTCAATCCATGCCCAAGGGTTTATTTCTTGGTAAAATGCTGGGGGATGCAAGGCGGTGAATTCTTCATAAAAATTTCTCTATCACTGCAATGGCAATTGTGTCACATCCTCTGACTCCACTCACTTCTCAACACAGTGAGCTGGATTATTAAGTGATACCCTTCACTGAGGGTCTCTGTGTAGACACATCCACCTCCTTGGTTTCCGGGGGAACCGTGAGTGTGCCCCGGCCCCTGTCCTGATTGGAGATGATGGAAGCATGGACAATGGAGATAAAAAGCTGGGTTTTGAGCCCAACTCTGCCACTTACTAGCTTTGGGATCTGGGACAATTTATGTTTCTCTAGTTTTGTTACCTGTGAAATATGAACGGCAACCCATGCCTTGCTGGGTGTTGGAAGGGGTAATCGAATGCCTGGTGGTAGGAGGAGCCCCCTCCAACCCTCTCACTACTAACAAGGTGACTGGTCTTGGTTACATGCAGCCAGCAGGGCCTTGCAAAGAGATAGTGTGCACGGGCTGTGAGGTGCCATCCCTGCGTGAGCACAAGCAGCCCAGCAGCTTTTACAAGGCAATCATGGCCACCTCAGAAAGCCTTAATTAAAGCACCTATTTGTAAATGGCCCAGAACAAAGAGAATGACAGACTTAGTGAGCCCCTTGAAAACCGACTTAGACAGGAAGCTGACGAAGGGACAGCAGCAGCCCGTCAGGCAACTGGCTGTGATGAGTTCCCTTCCTCACCATAGGCTGCAAAGGCTCTGGCCGAGCCCCAGGCTGGTTCAGTTGCCAAGGCCTGTGCCTTGCGTCAGCCTTCACCAGCCCGCCTGCATCGGCCTTTAGGGCTGACTTGCTCCTGCTTGAGGGAATGACTGCTCACCCTGCTGTTCTGGTCCTCTGAGGCCTGCCTCCTTCCTTGGCCTTATTCATAACTGTGTTCTGATGGCCTCCTGCCTGTGTGCCTGCCTGGCTTCTGACCCACTGATGCTCTGTCTTTTGTCATTTCTTCTTGCTTTACTATCCACAGGCCTTTTAACTTTTTGTCCCTTCCTAATGGATTTATGACAAACAACTCTGTGATGAACGTTCAACAATATATGTTCATGTACCTCTCCACTAACTTCTTAAAACCCCCTAATAACTCCTGGAGGTAGAATCGCTGGCTGCAGAAGGGAAATGTCTGTGGGGAGGCCATGCAATGAAGTGACACAGCAGTCGGCCCCTGAGAGAAGTCCAGCCCCACATCTGAGAGCAGTTCTCCTGCAAGGACAAGGCAAGTCATCGTGGCATTACCTATAGCAGAAGGAAGTTGGAGGCAACCTAGATGACCTGAGATTGGACAGAGTCAAAAGATGATAAATGCATATTATGGAAGCTAAACACAACAAAGTCGTTGTACGTACAGACAACATAGTGTTGGTTTAAAAAATATCAAAACCGTACCATTTATCTAATTAAAACATACACACACACTGAAAGCACTGCTACTTACTGCCAGTAATGAACACATATTTGGGATGACATCACATGTGCTACAGTGGGTGCCTTTGGTGAGGAGAGTGAGAGGAGAGATGGGAAATGAAGAGAACAGATGAATGAAACAGAGAAGGGCTTCTGTGGGTTGATAAGGATACTATGCTCAGGACTGGAGACTAATGGGCTCAGCTTCCTGCTTAGGAGGCCCCAAAGCAAAACCAAACGTAAAATAAAGAAAGTGGGAAGGACTGGGAGATGACCTAAGAGGGCTTTGTCGGGGCCAGCCTCAGGACTGGTTGAGGAGCCTCAGTCATCTTCTGTTGAGCATTTGGTGCCTGGGTAGATGTGTTTTGGAAGCAGATTTTTAGGGAAGTGAAACTGTCAAGTCATGGGATGGAGCAGAGGAGGGAAGCCTGGTACACAGATCTGTTAGGTTAACATGTGGTGGCTGTGGGCCCCCAGGGAGGATACACCCTGGGGCTGCTGAGCACTTGGAAGGAAGCTGTTGGGAGAATGAAAAATTCAGGCTGGGAAGAGACAGGGAAGCCACACCTTGTGTTGATCAACCTGGGAAGGCTTCCTGGAGGAAGAGGGCGTTTCCCCACGATGGCATTGGGTGCCTTCTGCAGCCAGGCTAGAGTGCCCTCTAGTGGAAACAGTATGGGAGTCCAGGAGAGTCTTTTCTAAGGCACCTCTGCCACAGAGCAGTGACTCAACAGGGCCCCAGGGGCTTCTCTGAGCTACAGAACTTAGGGTTTTGGTCTGTAAAATGGGTTGCACGTCATGTGGCTGTGCTGCAATTGGAGGAGCTCCAGGAATAAGACAGGAAAGGGGTAATTATCAGTGTTTTCGTGCCAAGTTTTCTTCCTTTTGTCTCCTGAAGTTCCTCCTTCTCTGGCAAGCTTCTGCGCTGTTGGAGTTGGGGAACTCTGAAGGGCACTGTCTCCCACGGTGCCCTCCAGACAGCTAGCTGCCTCCCGTCTCAAGGGCCAGGTGGACAGACCTGGACGTGTTCCTTAAGTAGACCCCAAAGCTGAGACCCTGTAACTTCTGGCTGTCCTCCATGTGTTTGGGCACCTGTCCCCAGCTGCCTCACTTAGCCCCTGTGGGTACACATCCCCTCTCTCTGTCCCCCTCCCTCCCACCCAAGACAGACACTTCCTCTCCTTCAGGACTCCTCACAGGGCTGGGCCTCAGGGCCTCCCCACTGGGTGCTGTCTTGGCCAGCAGTGAGTGACCCTTTGGAAGCAACGAGGAGGCTCAAGCCGGTCATTCTTCATCCTGTGTGGCCTGAGCAGCAGAGGGCAAGGGTGCCACTGCTCTGGACACTGCATGGCTGAGTGCTGCCTAAGAGAGCAGGAGCTCCCTGAGAGAGAAAAATGAGCTAGCCCTGCTGAGCACTGCCCAGACTACACAACTGTTGGTTTTTAAAGCTTCTAAGTTTTGGGTGGTTCATTACACAGCCAAGTGAGCTCTTGACTGGATTCCATAATTTGCAACCACTCTTGATTATTAGAACCATTTCACTCCAGAATTTAAGAAGTCCTAGCCTCATTGTAAAATTTCA